AGGTGACCAGCCACCCAAAGCAACAGGGGTGAGGGGCTCCCTCCTCCCATGCTTGGCACAGGGGCAGAAGTGGTGCCGTTCAGCCTCTCATGCGCGCGTGCCCTGGGACAGCCACCGCAGGCATGTGTCTGCTCTCCAGTGGGCTTGAAGCCCACAGGGATCCTGTCCAGGGCACAGGGTGCCATGTGGAGGGGTCTGGCCCTGTGGCAGGAGGTGGCCTTGGGTCCTTCCGGTGGGAAGAGACCCCAGGACAGAGTCCAAGGTCAGGTTGGGGCTGGAGAGCCTGCTCCTTCCTCCAACGGTAAAGCAGCAGAGCAGGGACACCTCCAGCGCCCAAAGGACTGGGACAGCAAGCAGGCAGAGGCAGCAGGGGCCGGGGACCATCCCAAGCACCTGGCAATTCTCCTACCATTGCCGGGGAGCGGCCCTCCAGAGCGGCCACCGTGTCTGCATGCTTAATTACAGAGCAGCCCTGGAAACCAGCAACAGCAGCGGCACTGTGGCCAGGAGGGGAGGCAGCAGGGCTGTAAATAGAAATTGCGGAGGCAGCCGCGGGGAACAGAGTGAGGGAGGGCTTCTGCGCCTGAATCGCTCCTCTCCTTCCCTTCCCCACAGCTTCTCTCACCTCTCCTGGCCACCCCAGCTCCCAGCACGAAGCAGCCATGTGGCGAGCACCCCCAAAGCGTGGCTGGGGGGCAGAAGCTCCAGAGGCAGAGCAGTCACTCAGGGTGGAGAAGCGGTTGTGCAAGGCCTCCTCCATCAGAGGCCACCTCCAGTGGGAATGCGTGAGGAGGGTCAAAGAGCCCCTTTGGCCAGCAAGAAGAGCAAGGCAAGACGGACGGTGGGGCCACAGTGACCCATCTACCCCCCCAGAGGAGGCTGTGGGATGCCAAATGTTTGAGACTCTGTCCCACAGGGATGTGCCCAGGGTGAAGTCCCTCTCATCCAGCCCTGACATCTCCATTATGGCCTCTTCCACAGCAGCAAGAGCTCTGCTTTCAGTATTTTGCAAAGGTTTATTTAAAAATGTTGAAACTAACATCCCACAAGAATTGAATATTTCACCACGAGGAGAAGAGAAATCCTACAAAAATATATATCACAGCGCACAAGGGCAGGGGAGGGGGAAGAGCGAGACTGAGCGGGGAAGCAGGAGAGAGGACGGAGGGGAGGATGGGAACTGCGGTGGAACAAGACTGAGTGGCAAAGGGAGAACAAGAGAGGAGCAGGGAGAGCGAAACAGCAGGAGGGGAGAGATAACCGGAAGGGAGACCGTGGTACAGGACAGGAGTGGGAAGCAGGAGAACAGTGGGAGAGGGAAAACAACAGGAAAAAAGGAGTCGAGAGCCAGCAGTTGGTGAAGGAAGGGGGCCCTCCTCTAAGGTCTTGCCAAGGTAGGGCCAGGACTACAGTGAGACATCAGCAGGGGTGCGACTGGGGAGCTGGAGTTTGGCCCAGGGCTTTTGTGCTGCAGGACTCGGCTCTAAGGCTGTGCCATAGACGTGGTTTGTCAGAGAGAATAAACAAAGCCACAGTTTAATTCAGAGCAGTCTGAAGGTGATCGTGTTTGAGAACTCGCGGGGAATGAACAAACTGCTCCTTTCCAAGTATTTTTTCTTATTGGGAAAGGGAGTGGGGAATGAAGGGACCAGATTTGCAAGGGCACTTAGGTGCCATTGAGGAAGAGGTAGATAGCCCTCTCTGAAGCTGTGGGATGCTTGGCTGGATGCGAGTCCCTGGAAATTGGACCGGAGGACCAGTGTGGAAGCAGACACTGTGGTCTGCTCCCCTGCCTACCAGTCACAACCAACCAGATGAGAAAGCCCAAGCAAGATTCGGCCTTGTGGTCATGCTACTCTGCTGGGTAAACAGAGGGAGACTCCAGTTCCTCCTCCAAAACAATACAGGGCAGAGGAGAGAGATTCTGCCCCAGACCTTCCCTCCTTCCCACTGTGCTCACAGAGACCGCCCTTGCATTAACGAAGCCAAGACCCTCCAGGAGCTCAGCAGAGAGAGACTCAGTTCCTTTGACTCACCCAGCCCACTCGGATGTTCCCTTTCAATTGCACAGAAATGTTGGGCAGGCTCAGCCCAAGGCTATGAACATTTTCAGTTGGTTTCCCCGCACTCTGTAAAATTTCCACTGGAAAAAAATTAATCCAGATCTTTCCCCTCCAGTCACCTAGAAGACAGGGGAACCTGATGGGCTGTGACTGAGAAGGGACTGCCCTCTGCCCTGGCTTGGTACTTGGTGCTGTCAACCTGTCCATGTGCGCATCTCACAAAATGTCAGCTTGGGCCAGGGAAGAGACTGCAGGCATGCTCTGGCTCCAGTTTGCGCAGGGCAAGATGGTTTATCAGCCTCCAACCATGGAGAAAACAGATCCAGTGAGATTATTTATTGACTGGAAGAAGCTTGTATGTCCACATGTGTTTTGAACGTTTTGTTCCAGGGACAAAATGTAGCAATGAAAGTTTGGGCAGGACAATGAAGTTGTTTCCTATATCTAAGCTGTTTTGTGTGAGAGAGTGAATGACTGTCATAAAAACATATTTGGCTAGAAAAATTGGTCTTGGAAAAGATGTTCTGCATATCCAAGCCTCTGTCATTGTAAGAGTTTTCTCTGCTTGCATTCCCCAGCTTCCCCCTTACCACAGCATCCATGAAAGGTTTCACTCCCTGGAAATACTTTTAACAGAAAGAGAGACACATTAAAGGGAGGGGAAAAAAAAAACAAAACACAAAAATCTGATTTGTTTGCAGAGTTTACAAAAGCCTGGCTGGCAGAGCGCAGAGCTTCCCCGCATCAAGTGTTGGAAAATGTTTTCACTACGCCTCCCACGGTGCCCTGCCTCTTTCTTACAGTCCACCTCTCCACGCAGGTGTGGAAAGGGAATGTCCAAGGACAGCCCTTGAAGTGGTAGAGTCCTCACCTCAGGCCTTGTTTCAGCGAGCGCTATTGATCAAAGAGCAATCTAATTAATCTGCTCTGGAAAATTACTTAAACCAGTTCAAGGCATTATCTTGTAAACTGCCAGCAATAAGCAGCGCAGCCTCCCGCAGGCTGTGTGCCTGTGGCCGCCTCCAGCACCCATGTGCCAGCGAGAGGGGAACAGCCCCCAGCATTGGGGAGTGGGGGAGCAGGCAGGAGCAGCCATCTGCCCCCTTCGCTGCCCATCCACAGCTGGAATGTCCACCAAAGCCTTGAATGGAGCCTGAATAAGGAAAAGGCTCGGTAATAGATTGATCTCTGGTAAAGCAGTAATATCCCCTGCTATAAGTGGAGACTTAACCTGCGCTTAGACTAGACACCTCCAGCGTCCTTTCCCACCTACATCTTTCATCCATTCTGTGCTTTTAATAAGCCAGTAATTTTATTTGACCTGTCATTTTCTCCCAATCTCTACTGGTTTTTTTGCGAAGCTTATTGCAATTTACACTCTCATTTAAATGTCCTTCATGGTGAGTCAGATGGGGCCCGAGATCACCTAATAGTTCAGCTGGGTAAATGGGCAGAACCAGGCCTCTTATGAAACTCCCTGTGCTTTGTCCTATAAAGAATAGGCTTTTACCACAGAGATAAAGGATGAAAGGGCCATTTCCTTTCCTCCAAGATGAGTTTTGTCAGAGACCTTGTATGGTGCATTAGGGTCTTCAAATTGTGGGTGAGTTTCCTGTCTCTGGCCGCATCAGTCCAGCAGCTGAAGGTATTTATACAGTATAGGGGCAACCTTCCCTAAATCTACATCATTTCAGCTCAGCGGCTGCCAATGTGGGGTCTGTGAATTACTTTGAAGGTGTCCACAAAAGCCAAGGGAGAGCAACTGTTGTCATTAAGCTGAGATTTGCCATTTCACACTTCCTTAAAGTTACACCCATGGGTCCACACATAGGAAGAGGCTGAGATGCACTGATCTTGCTCACGCATGGAATGGAAGGGACCGTAAAGATCATCTGGTTCCACCCTCCAGGATGTTGGCAGGGACCTCTTTCACTACATCAGGTTGCTCAGAGTCTCATCCAACCTGGCCTTGAACACTTCCAGGGGTGGGGCATCCTACAGGTACACAAGTAACTGACCGTGTGGCTGTCTGCCCTACAGCTCACCACAGCCCTGAAGTACATGCTCAGGCAACCAGTTTGCACCGATACCTATGCCACCGGTTTCTGTCCCCAACCAGCTGGGGCAATACACTGAGGAAGGCTGGCACCCCAGATATCCCCTCTCTCATGGCCTTGGTGAGTGTTGCCTCACGGTTCTCCAAGTCACCTTGCATTCCAGGAGAGACCTACCAACAGTACATGACAACCCTCCAAATCTTCCCCAAGGTCAACTCTAAATTGCTCTTTGTCATCCCAGGCACAGAGAGTCATATCTGCTGCTTGTTGCCTGTGGCATGAGTGTCTGAAAGAAATTCCCTACCTCAGCCTGGCAAAACTCAGGTTCCCCAGCTCTATCTGCATGCCATGCTTTAGCTCTTTCGGCAGTATCCCAGTGTACAGGATGCTTGCTAAGTAACATGATGGGCAGAGGGCTTTGCCTCAAATTTTCTGAAGAACACCACCATAGACTGATGTTCTTCAGAAAAACCTTGCTGAAGGAGACTGAAGGGGTGGAGGGGGACAGCAAGGAGGCTTCCAAGAGATCAAAACATTTGGAAAGCTAAAGGAACCTTTTCCAACTTTAACTGGTGAGAGAAGTGGTGGGGGGAGGAACTGAGAGAAAAAAATAGGGGTCAGAGAGATGAAGAACAATACAAGCTGAAGAGAAAAAGCAGAGGAGTGTTAGGCAGAAAGAAAATGGAAAGATGTGAATATCTTCCATCTAGGGGGGAGGTAATGTTTCCTTCAAGGAAATGGGTTGCTGAGGGTGGCAGGGGGGGAAGGGAGAGGGGGTAGGTGCTGTGTGAGCCTCTTCTGCCCAAGCTTCACCCACCCTTGGGACCGTCGGGACGTCCAAGGCCTCGGGGAACAGAAGAACCTGCCACCACCTGAGTCCTGGCTCAGGGGAGACCAAGCCCCAGCGGGCAATCCTGCAGCCACTGAACTCCAGACGTTCACTTCAAAGCACACGACATGGGAAGGGACACACAGAGGGGTTGGGGCCCACGGGGACAGGGGTACGCCTTTCCACCTTGCCTACCCCCGATATCAGGCATGCACTGGTGAGAGAGTCACGGAGATCCAAGCGTGGGCGCGTGTCTGCGTGTGTGCTCGGAGAGGGGCTGGGGAGGCCAAGATCTCACACCACCAGCTGTCTTCCCTCCCACCATCCTGCTCTCTCATCACCCTGTCCTGTGTGGGCGGGGAGGGCTCCCCAACCTTCCCCCAGCAGGAAGCTAAGGAGGCCCAGCTTGTCCATTTGCCCAGGCACGTCCTGGCGGAGTTAGTTAGTAATGGTGGTGGCGGGCCGT